TTTTTTTTTTCCGCCCCCGGGGGGGGTCGGGGTCCCCCCCCCCCCCCCCCCGAAAAAAAAATTATTTAAAGGTTTTGGGGGTTTTTTTGGGTTTTTTTTTTTTTCCCCCCCCCCCCCCCCCCCCCCCCTCGCTTATTTAGAACGCGAGGGTATTTATAGGGGAGTTTAGTGTTACCTGATGTGCCTGCCCGCAGGGAGCAAGATCGTACCTCGGATGGCGTCCGACATCGCCGTTGGCGTGACGTGAGGGATAGAGCTTGAGCAGTCGTTAATGGGCCTCGGTTGGCGTTTCGGCCCGTGTTTGCCAGGCGCTGTCAGCTCGACAGGGACGTGGGGCGTCAGCTGGTGTCACGCGAGTCTTACCATACTTATCACCCTCATCATACTCCCCCCCCCCAAAGGAAGCTATGTGTCGGCTACCGTAAGGGGGGTCCGATGCATGGCTTTGGTTTTAAGGAACTATCTCTGTCGTGGAGCTTGGCAATTGATGAGGGTTGGATGTGCAGTGGTGGCACTAAGTAGTGAGTGGTCCGAGGAACCTCGAAGTATGACTCGTAGGTCAAGTTGGGCTCGGTCGTAGGGGTGGTAGGCCCCTCAGGCGGGCAGGCCGCGCAGGAGCAGGCCGCACGGGTGTGGTCTTCGGGCAGCATGGGGCCGAGGAGCACGACGCAGGCGGGCAAGCTGCGCAGGTGTGGTCCGGAGCAGCATGAGGCCGAGGAGCACGACGCAAGCGGGCAAGCCGCGCAGGTGTGGTTCCGGGCAGCATGAGGTCGAGGAGCACGACGCAGGCGGGCAAGCCGCGCAGGTGTGGTCCCGGGCAGCATGAGGCCGAGGAGCACGACGCAGGCGGGCAAGCCGCGCAGGTGTGGTCCCGGGCAGCATGAGGTCGAGAAGCACGACGCAAGCGGGCAAGCCGTGTAGGTGTGGTCCCGGGCAACATGAGACCGAGGAGCATGACGCAGGCGGCTGCGACCGAGGAGCTACTTTGATCGGATCTGTAGGCTGTGCTACGGGAGGCGAGGGTGGCCGGGTGGCCTTTGGTCTGCTCGGGAGTCCAGAGGATGAACTTTTTCGCTAATCGCCAGTTTTCGAGAAGACCGGCGCTTCAAGCCCGCTGTTTGCCACGCATAGCGCACCCGTTGGCCGCCCTGTCAAGCCACATTTATGGTGGAGTGATGTTTGGTCATCCCGACGCGACATGCTTCAGGAAAGGTCGTTGTTTTCGACGGGATTTTGTTTATAAGTAGTGTGCAGTTTGTCCCCTGAAGGTCTCCTCACTCGTTTCTATTCTACCGCTTCGGACTCCATCGTTTCGCATTGATCGTTCTCCTTCTCTCACCAAAGGTTAGTAATGATGGTGTCTTCTTCCTCTTCCTCTTCCTCTTCATCCTCTTCTTCGGCTAAAGTCGGGCAAACGACGATTGCGTCGAATCCTAACTCGTCATCCGACAAAAAGGCAGCCCGGGCCCTTGAGGCCCTGATGTGGCCACACGACCTCGACTCCACCGTGAGCGAGTCTTCGCTCAGTCGCCTCCGGGATCTCTACGGCATCCCGGAGGAATTTTTCCTTCTTGATCCTGAGCCCGACCAACGGGCGTACGATCTGATTCCCAAGGGTTTCGCCCTCACCCTTGATGCTTTTGAGGCCGGGCTACGCCTCCCCTTGCACCCCATCATAACCTCTTGCATCTCATGGTGGAGCATCTCCCCGTCTTAGATGGCGCCCAACTCTTGGCGCTATCTGGTAGCGTTCCTAGGGGAGTGCCACTATGCCAATATCACCCCGACCCGATCCCTCTTCCTTTCTTGCTTTCGTCTTTCCAAAGGGTCGGGGGGCTACTATCTGTCTGCCCGAGCAGGCTTCCGAGTGAGCGGGGCTCCTTCTAGTAATAAGGGATGGAAGGGGCGCTTCTTTTTCGTCAGTCGCTCGGAGGACTAGGGGTTTGGGCTCCGGTGGGCGGCACGTGTGATAGACAACACCGCCTTGGCTTTGGACGACGAGGAGCGCCGAGAGTTCCGGAGGCTTAAAGAAATCCTTCCAGCCTCAAGAGCCATCCGGAGTATGTCCGAGCAATGGTTGGTCGAGGCGGGTCTTAGCCCGATGCCTCGAGGTATGCCCTAAGGGGTAGTTTTAGGGTTTCTTTTAGGGATTATCTAGTCAGCTGACCAATGTTAATGCTTTTGCGCAGAGATAGTGGTTCTCCGAGCCCTGCGTGGGGGTAAGACCTCGTCGGCCCCATCTACCCGTTCGCTGGCCGAGGCGAGGGCTGGCTCGAGAGAGGCTCCGGTGGATGTCAAGGCCAGGTGGACGCCATCCACATCTTCACTGACTCGCAGCTCATGGTCGAGCAACTCAACGGCGGATACGAGGCTAGGGAACCGACCATGGCAAAGTACTTAGCGGAGGTAAAAAGCCTAGCCTCCAATTTCTCCCACTTTACGATATCTAGGGTGCCGAGGAGCCAAAATGAATGAGCCAACGAGTTGGCGAAGATGGCCTCAGGACCAGACCACGGAAACCACTTCGAGGTTAAAGAGCTCCCATTCTGCGCCATCTCGGTTTCGACTATAACTCCTGCCGAGGCACGCGCCACGTGGGTACAGGAGATGCTACTTTTCAAACGCGACGGGATTCTTCCCGACGACGAGGCCATGGAGCAGCGCATTCGCCGAACACAGGCATGGTATTCCGAGGTGAACGAATGGTATTCCAAGGGCCAGCTTGAATCATGCCAGGAGTGCCTCGTACTCGGCTTCATTGTTGATTGCCCGGAACCCGAAGCGGAAGGAGCGTTCGAACGAGCGTCCGTCGGGGGTCGAGAGTACCAACCTCATGCCCGCGCTGCTCGAGGTAGCCGAGCCGTCCATGTGCAG